TATGCAAGGAAGACAGGCCCAGGCATGCTAATCAGGTTCAAGCAGAAGTCCCTGCTGTCAGGCAACTCTGTGGCAATGAGGAGAATGTCCAAAGTGAAGTGAGCAAATCAATCTGCAGGTCAGGTTAGGATAACTACTGTCAGGCATAATAACCACCCGTCAGATCTGTAGTGATGAGGTCAAGCCAGGACCTGGTGTGCAGGTCATGGTTCAGTTCATTTGGGACRATGGCAGGGCAGAGGCAGTGCTGAAGATGAACTGGAGAGAAATATTTGTACAACATAGCCCAGGGGCGTAGAGACTCAAGACAGCACTTAAAATGGTTTCCATAGGGAGAGGGGGTGGGTAGAATCTTTAAGTGAGGCTGCTCAGAGCCATTAAGGCCTATTTGTGCACTTACATACCTTGACAGACTCTGTCCCTGTGTTTTGGACTTTGTGGGGTTAATGTGCTACAATGTTCTTTTTCTCAAGGTGTTCTTCAAAGCCGGGCTGTTGGGGCTTCTAGAGGAGATGAGAGATGATAAGTTGGCACAGCTCATCACTCGCACACAGGCCAGATGCAGGGGCTTCCTCATGAGAGTGGAGTACAAGAGAATGGTGGAGAGGAGGTACACATTCCTCTAACTTGTTCTTATGATACTTCAGTTGAATTTGAATCACTGAACTGAATATATTTATTGAATTTCTCATTACCCCAAGGTATATAACAGGACTGTGAATTGTATTTCAGGGAATCCATCTTCTGCATCCAGTACAATGTTCGCGCATTCATGAATGTCAAGCATTGGCCATGGATGAAGCTGTTCTTCAAGATCAAGCCCTTGCTGAAGAGCGCAGAATCAGARAAGGAGATGGCCAATATGAAGGAAGAATTTGAGAAAACCAAGGAAGAGCTTGCAAAGTCTGAAGCAAAGAGGAAGGAGCTGGAGGAGAAAATGGTGGCTTTGCTGCAGGAAAAAAATGACCTACAGCTACAAGTGCAGGCTGTGAGTATATGGCTTTTGTTCCTATTTGTTTTTTCCTGGGAAGAGCAGTATATAAAGAGAGCCTACTTTTTCTTCCTGCAGAAGAAACTCACAAGAGGCAGATTATCTTGCAAACAATCCTTATTATAATATAAAGAGCTCTAAAACTGAGAAGATGGGAACTGATAGTGGTATGGTGAGTCCTGTGCCATCCAGTGCAGATTGCTAGCAGCTTCCAATGAGATTCAGTCTTCTTGCTGTTCCAGGAAAGAGCTCACCAAAGACAATATATTGAAGAATGCTCTGTGCCTCCTTTAACCTCAGAAAATATAATGCAGGCCTCAAAAAGAATTACCTCTATCTCTACCCATGTTTGCTAATTATGACTACACTGTCAAGATGTGGTTGGTTGTAAGGATATCTGCCATACTACCAATTTTCCTAATACTAATTTAGGATAAGTTTCTTAATATAATGCACTGAAACCTGATATTATGTACTGATGAACCAGTACACTGGTTCACCAACACTGAAAATATTACAGAAACAAAATGCAAAGATAGCACATGAGAAATTAATTGCAAGGGCAAGACCTCTGTGTCATGTCCAATAAATTTAATGCATGTTCTTTCCCAATTAAAGAATTCTTCAAAATAGCAGGGCTTTTACTTCCGACATATGAAGTTTAGAATGACTGAGTTCCAAAAAGAAAAGTTAATGAAGGTACTGTGTTTGTGGAGGAAAAAATGCTCTAAGACCTCTCCCTTGATAAAATCAGTACTTACACTGAAGACCCTGAGAGTACATGAACTATTTTCACAGATAACACTACTGCAAGATGTCTCTAAAATATCCAAGAAAATTCAAAATCAATGCTGATTCCAGTTGAGAAGCTAAATTCTCATTTCCCCCCAGAAAATATTCTTCAAGTTGTGAGAGAAAGGTCAATTTCAGTACATGTCATGATTTTAAGGAATAAAGAAAGTCTTCTTCCTCCTCTCACAAATCATTAACGATCACCAGATGCTAAATAACTTAAATAATTAAAGCCAAGCTACATTGTTTACAAAGGGAAAGGACACTAAAGCATCTTTAAAGTTAAATAAGCAATTACAGTGATCACACTTACGGGGTACACATGGACATAAAAGTATCTCAAAGACAATTAAAGATTTCTTGAGCTGATTTTGATTTTTTTAAAAGAAAACAGTAGCCATTTTTTTCTTATTTTTGACAATAAAAAAGACAAAATATATCGGAAAAAAAATACTCTGTAATGTTCTTGCCCGCAGGAAGCAGATAGCTTGGCTGATGCAGAGGAAAGATGCGACCAGCTGATCAAAAACAAAATCCAACTGGAAGCCAAAATTAAAGAGGTGACTGAGAGGGCAGAGGATGAGGAAGAAATCAATGCTGAACTAACAGCAAAGAAGAGGAAGTTAGAGGATGAATGCTCAGAACTGAAGAAAGATATTGATGACCTTGAGCTAACGCTGGCCAAAGTTGAGAAAGAAAAGCATGCCACCGAAAACAAGGTACAGCACAAAATTTGCTACTCATGCCACAGAAATCAGTGCTTTGCTGGTACAATGCATCTGTACCTACTTCCTTAACTTACCACCTGCTCTCATCTTCTCACAGGTCAAAAACCTCACTGAGGAGATGGCAGTCCTGGATGAAACCATTGCCAAGCTCACAAAAGAGAAAAAGGCCCTCCAAGAGGCCCACCAGCAGACACTGGATGACCTGCAGGTAGAAGAGGACAAAGTCAATACTCTGACCAAAGCTAAAACCAAGCTGGAACAGCAAGTGGATGACGTAAGCACGTGTGGATGTGGTAGGATCAAATCTGCTATAGAGTTGTTTTTTCTGTCAGGGAACTGACGATGGTCTTTGGACAATGATAGCACAGCTGTGGAGGTAGAGGTGGCAGGAAGAGCATTCATGGCCTTGTTGTGTTTAGCTTGAAGGGTCCCTGGAGCAGGAGAAGAAACTGCGCATGGATCTTGAGAGAGCCAAGAGGAAACTCGAGGGTGACCTGAAGTTGTCCCATGACAGCATAATGGACTTGGAAAATGATAAGCAGCAGCTGGATGAGAAACTCAAGAAGTGAGTGAGCTTCCAGAGCAATTTTTAAACTCTGCTGGTGTGTATGTGTGCTCTAATACACATTTCTTTGTGCACAGGAAAGACTTTGAAATCAGCCAGATCCAGAGCAAGATCGAGGATGARCAAGCCCTGGGCATGCAATTGCAGAAGAAGATCAAGGAGTTGCAGGCAAGTCTCTGTTCCCTCCCTTCTCTCATGCCGACAGAGGTTCAGCTGGAGCAGGGCATGAGTGTGAAGGGTGCCTACTGTTCCACAGGCGCGAATTGAGGAACTGGAGGAGGAAATTGAGGCCGAGCGGACCTCTCGCGCCAAAGCAGAGAAGCATCGGGCTGACCTCTCCAGGGAGCTCGAGGAGATCAGCGAGCGCCTGGAGGAAGCAGGGGGAGCTACGGCAGCCCAGATCGATATGAACAAGAAGCGCGAGGCCGAATTTCAGAAGATGCGGCGCGACCTCGAAGAGGCCACTCTGCAGCATGAAGCCACCGCTGCCGCCCTGCGCAAGAAGCATGCGGACAGCACAGCCGAGCTCGGGGAGCAGATAGACAACCTTCAGCGTGTSAAGCAGAAGCTGGAGAAGGAGAAGAGTGAGCTCAAGATGGAGATTGATGACYTGGCCAGTAACATGGAGTCTGTCTCCAAAGCCAAGGTATAGTTCTGCTTATACACATTTTTGCACTCAGGTATAGGGTATCACATACAGGCTGCATCTACTAACCATGTTCTCATGTAAGAGTCCGCCTATATCCAAGACGCATTTATTTCTCCTTCCATGTGTTTGACCCTAGGCAAATCTAGAGAAAATGTGCCGCACTCTAGAAGACCAGCTGAGTGAGATTAAGACAAAGGAGGAGCAGAATCAGCGCACRATTAATGAMCTCAATACMCAMAGGGCTCGTTTGCWGACAGAAACAGGTGAGATATTCTCATCCCCAAGGTGCGCACGGTGAACCTGCAAGTCATGAGGTTCAAAGTAGTGTTTTATCTTACCTAAGACACTGTAGCACCAACAGTTGCAGGCATTGATTGTTGTACTATTGCTAGTGATAGAAAAATAAGAGTTTTGCTTCTTTCTTTTACACTTTCCAGGGGAATATTCACGCCAGGTGGAGGAAAAGGATGCCTTGATTTCTCAGCTGTCTAGAGGCAAGCAGGGCTTTACCCAACAGATTGAGGAACTGAAGAGACATCTAGATGAAGAAGTAAAGGTGATCGTTGTTCCAGTAAAAGACTTCTTTCCCCACAGTAGGAAAATTCTGTTCTAGGGAGGCTTTCTCTAAAGCCGTGTATTGCTGGCAGGAGCAGCAGATAATCACAGCCTGTCACTGGTGACCAGTGACAGGACAAGGGGAAACAGGTATATTAAAACACAGGAAGTTCCATGTCCATGAAAGGAACACATCCATGAAAAGAAGCACATCTAGGAAGGATTCATCACTCCTAGCTTTAAAATTTTGTGTGAGAATTTACCTGTATTTTCCCCCAGTGCACTTGGCCTGTGCCTGATATTTTTACTGTCAAGAAGCATCTCAGTATACATCCTGAAGTTACGAGTCCTAATGTTTCCCCAGGCCAAGAACGCCCTGGCTCATGCTTTGCAATCTGCCCGCCACGACTGTGACTTGCTGCGGGAGCAATATGAAGAGGAGCAGGAAGCCAAGGGCGAGCTGCAGCGCGCCCTGTCCAAGGCCAACAGTGAAGTGGCCCAGTGGAGGACCAAATATGAGACGGATGCCATTCAGCGCACGGAGGAACTGGAGGAGGCCAAGTATGTGGGGACTGGGATGTGGCAGAGCAGGAGACTAGGGCAGTCAGAGGAAATTTGGCAGTGTCTAAAAGCTAGAACTGATAGATTGATAAAAGAAAATGATGAAGATCCTCAGCAGGGGTCATTGATGGTTAAATGTTCTCTTGAGTAATGCAACACTGGCTCTGTAATGATCACTGCGTGGGATCTGTGTCTACCACTTCCCAGGAAGAAGCTGGCACAGCGTCTGCAGGATGCCGAGGAACATGTTGAGGCTGTGAACTCCAAATGTGCTTCTCTGGAAAAGACAAAGCAGCGGCTGCAGAATGAAGTGGAGGACCTGATGATTGATGTGGAAAGGTCGAACGCAGCTTGTGCAGCTCTGGACAAGAAGCAGAAGAATTTCGACAAGGTAAAATGGGCTCCCGCCCTGCAGTCTGGGAACAGAGCATGCCCTTGTGATTGCCAGGTCCATAATCAGGCCCTGTTGCTCTTCAGATCCTGTCAGAGTGGAAGCAGAAGTATGAGGAAACACAGGCTGAGCTGGAAGCCTCCCAGAAGGAGGCTCGCTCTCTCAGCACAGAGCTGTTCAAGATGAAGAATGCCTATGAGGAGTCCCTGGACCACCTGGAAACCCTGAAGCGGGAGAACAAGAACTTGCAGCGTAAGTTCTGGGCGCTCTGCTGCTGATGGATCTTTCTCACAAGCTCCACAAACCCGGAAGGGGTCTGTGGCTCTGGTCTTGTGAGGGTACCTGTCCCCTGTGTGTGACAGGGCCTTGTCCCTCCTGTTCTGTACCTGACCAGGCCCTATGTCTCTGTCTCCACAGAGGAGATTTCTGACCTCACAGAGCAGATTGCAGAAGGTGGAAAGGGCATTCATGAGCTGGAGAAAGCAAAGAAGCAGGCCGAACAGGAGAAATCTGAGCTCCAGGCCTCTTTGGAGGAAGCTGAGGTACATGGCAGTTTCCTTTGCCTCAATAGAAATTGAAGGAACAAGGAAGGAGAGGTGACTAAGAATTATATAGTCACCATCAGTCCTATGTGTGGAGCATAGCTATCTCAGACATTCTTAAGTATTAAGATAATATTTCGAAGGCTGGCAGTATTTTTATTCCCCTCATAGCTATCTTGAAAATGTACAGCATACATTTACTAGGAAACAGTTTGTATGAAGGAATAACAGTGCTTAACCCTTGATTTAAACGGTGTCCTTTCTTTTTTTAGGCCTCTCTTGAACATGAAGAAGGGAAAATCCTTCGCCTGCAACTGGAACTCAACCAGATCAAGTCTGAGATTGACCGGAAGATAGCAGAAAAGGATGAGGAAATCGACCAGCTGAAGAGAAACCATCTCCGAGTTGTGGAGTCCATGCAGAGCACGCTGGATKCTGAGATCAGGAGCAGGAATGAAGCCCTGAGGCTGAAGAAGAAGATGGAGGGAGACCTGAATGAAATGGAGATCCAGCTGAGCCATGCCAACCGTCTGGCTGCAGATGCACAAAAGAACCTGAGAAACACACAGGGAGTGCTGAAGGTCTGTTAAACCAAATATGTGAATGCAGGGTTCCTGCTTGGATTGTACTATACTTGCATTATAACTGCACACATAATCGTGAATGTCACTGTTCAGTAGTGATTCATTGTCTTAATTGCTGCTTCATCTTTTACAGGATACCCAGATCCACTTGGACGATGCTGTCAGGACACAGGAGGACCTGAAGGAGCAGGTGGCCATGGTGGAGCGCAGAGCCAACCTGTTGCAGGCTGAAGTTGAGGAGCTACGGGGAGCCTTGGAGCAGACAGAGCGGTCCAGAAAAGTGGCTGAGCAAGAGCTGCTGGATGCAAGTGAGCGTGTGCAGCTCCTCCATACCCAGGTGAGGAAATCTCCTTTAGATTACTCCTTTTTAAAGGAGTCTTTTTTTAAATTAAATTCTTTCCTTTTAAAAAGCGGGGCAGGAAGCAGGTAGATACAGCCTCAAAGGCGTTATTAAAAATACTTTGCTTGAATTGCCCTTAAGGCAGAAGAGTCAGGTCTAAATGTAGAAATCATATTCTTCCTGTCACACAGAACACCAGCTTGATCAACACCAAGAAGAAGCTGGAAACAGACATCATGCACATTCAGGGAGAAATGGAAGATACAATCCAGGAAGCCCGCAATGCTGAAGAGAAGGCCAAGAAGGCCATCACAGATGTGAGTTGGGAACTCCTTTCATTGTCAGTGGAGGACAGATTCTGCTGGAGGACAGAGGTCATGTCCTAGCTCCAACTCTTGCTTTTCCTTTGCTCTGCAGGCGGCCATGATGGCAGAAGAGCTGAAGAAGGAGCAGGACACGAGTGCCCACCTGGAGAGGATGAAGAAGAACTTGGACCAGACAGTGAAGGACCTGCAGCACCGTCTGGATGAGGCTGAGCAGCTGGCACTGAAAGGAGGCAAGAAGCAAATCCAGAAGCTGGAGGCCAGGGTGAGTAAGGGCTGGTGTTGATGCATGAGGGAGCATGTGCCATGAGGCACCTCCAGTGAAGCACCAAGGATGGGTTTCTCCTTGCAGGTGCGCGAGCTGGAAGGGGAGGTTGATTCTGAGCAGAAGCGCAGYGCTGAAGCCGTGAAGGGTGTGCGCAAATACGAGAGGAGGGTGAAGGAGCTGACCTACCAGGTAGGGCAGGAGGCCTCTCTGTGTTGACATGCCCCCTTCCCAGGGAATCAGAATGTTGGCACRCAATTCCCAAGGGGAATTGGTAACCTCCTGCCATGTGGAAAACAATTCACTCTCTTTTTTGCTCACCTGTTGCTCTAGTCTGAGGAAGACCGGAAGAATGTTCTCAGGCTCCAGGACCTGGTGGACAAGCTGCAAATGAAAGTGAAATCCTACAAGAGACAAGCTGAGGAAGCTGTAAGTTCTGCTCAGACAAGGGCCAGAGTCAGCCTTCTGTGGCCAGCCGTGTCACTGAAATCAATATGAAGACCAACACTCCTGGTCAGCAACACAGAGCTTTAGGATCTTTACGACTCTAACATTTCACCCTGGCCCAAGGTCATCAGACTGAGGAGACAGTCAGTAGACAAATGGCAAGGGAAATGTAGGGTCAGATATATTAGGATTGTCACACGCAAATTACACAACATATAGAATCATATTTAGAAGACATTTGGAAAACATGTATCCCACCACTATTACGTAATCCAATCTTTTCCCAAACAGTACCTTTTTTTTTTTTTTTTTTTTTTTTTTTTTTCCTTTTTTTTTTTTTTTTATTTTTTTTTTTTTCTCTTTTTTTGTAAACAACTTCCC